GAGTTCTGGGCCTTGCAAGGCCTTTCTTGTGAAATATATTGGCTTTTGCCCGTCGAGGGTTTCTTGAATGAGGGCAACACCGATGACTTCATTAGTGACAGAGAGATAAAGGTAAAGTGTTTCCCCATTGTTTGGTCTTGACAGAACTGGTGGTTCTGACAGAGCTTGCTTAAGATGGAGCAGAGCCTGCTCACACTCCTCCGTCCATTCAAATGTTGCCTCTTTTATAGAAGCTTGAAGAATGGCAAAGCGTGTTGGGCAGACTTGGCCACGAAGCAAGATAACGAGGTAAGCATCTTGTTGAGGGATTGTATGCATTTCTTTGACTTTGGCATGGGGAACTCAGAAAATGCTCAACATTTGTCAGGGTTGGTTTCGATCCCCCTCTCATTGAGGTAGAAGCCGAGGAATTTCCCTGTTCGCACACTGAAGGTGCATTTTTCCAAGTTAAATTGCATTTTGAACTTCCTTGCTTGGTCGAAGACTTTTTGTAAGGGGAGCGTATGATCGAATTCCTCTTGGTATTTCACAATCATGTCGTTCATATATACTTCGAGTATATCCCTGATTTATGATCAGAAGAATTTGTTCATCATTCGCTGGTACGTGGCCCCAGTGTTTTTCAGACCGAAGGGCATTACGTTGCAGTAATAGTTGCCCGACGAGGTCATGAAAGCGGTGTACCTCTTGTCATTTTCTGCCATGGGAATTTGGTTATATCCCGAGTATGCGTCCATGAAGGACAAGAGTTTGAAACCGGCAGAATTATCTATTAACTTATCAATGCTAGGTAAAGGATACGTGTCTTTCGGTAAGCCCGATTGAGATCGGTGTAGTCAATGCACATCCTCCACTTTCCATTATGTTTTTTAACTAATACAATATTGGACATCTAGGTTGTATGCCTGGCTTCTGAAATGAATCTCGACTCTAAGAGGTCTTTTACAATTTTTTCCGCCGTTTCTGTCTTCTCGTCGGATTGTTTGCGTCTGCACTGTGCTACCGCTCGAGCTGAGGGGTCAATTGTGAGCTGAGGGGTCGAGGTCGGGCATGTCTGCGATGCTTCAGGAAAACAAATTTGTGTTATCTCTTAGATATATCTTCAGTTTCTCTTTCACCTCTTTGGGCAGTCCTGCGCCTATCCTAACTCCTCTGTTGGGATTGCTCTCGAAAGTGATCACTTCGAAGTCCCCATCTAGTACCGGGCGCAAGACAGTTACGGCAGGGGAGCTACCCGTCGATGCTGGAGTGTCTTCGTTGTTGTCCTCCTCGCCCTCTTCTGAGATTCGCCTGTCGAGGTCAATGGTGTGGATCTAGAGTGTTGGCTTCTTCTCGGGCTGGCTCTCTTTGCTGGGAAGCTCTTCGTCTCTTTCTCGTTTGACGGTTTTTGGTGTTGTGCCAATCGAACTCTGCCCCCTGGTAGTTGCCTCGAAACATTGTCTTGCAGCTTTGATGTCTCCGTGCAAGGTGGCAATGTAACCCTTCTCGGTGTAGTATTTTATCTTGAGATGAACTATGGACGGAACAATGATCAGCTCAACAAGGGTTGACCTCCCTAGAATACACTGGTACAAAGAGGGAAAGTCGATGACCAAGAATTGTGTCTTAATCATTTTGGAGGCCTCTTCCTCCTCGAAGGTGACTAAGAGTTCCATGTACCCCTAAGGCCTAGTAATAGCCCCATTGAATCCCTACAAGTCTGAGCCCACGTAGGGAGACAAGTTCTTCTGGTCGAGCTTAAGGGCGCATAACAAACTGGTGTACATGATGTCTACCAAACTCCCTTGGTCAACAAGGATTCGGCGGGCATTTGTGTTGGTCAATCTGGATCTTATGAGCAGAGGGATGTGCGTGTTGGGGGAGTCTCCAGGGAGCTCTTCAAGATAAAATATGATGGGCTGAGAGCGTCCTCGAAACTTCTCAAGTGTGGACATTCGGTCAGGGCTGCACTCGATCAGCTGATCGAATTTGCTCTTGAGTGATCCTACTGTGAGCTCACTATACCCGCCATAGAAGATGAATATCATGATGGGGAAGGTCTCCCAGAAGCTGTGCATGGCGAAATACGGAGGGTCCTCGAGATAGTTGGTGACAAAGAAGTCCTTTGGCCGCGAAACGGACATGGCAACTTATGGGGGAGAACTAGAAGGCGAAGCTCTTAATTCCGTCTTCTTAGACTCGGACGTCTCTTGTCGGGGGGCTTCTCCCTTCTTCGTGTACTGCTTCAAATGATCATCCTTAATGAGGATCTCGATGGCGTCCTTTAGATGGACACAATCTTCGGTCATATGGCCATGACTGCGATGAAAGCGGCAATACTTGCTTTGGTCAGTGTTGCCCTTCGATGTCGTCAGTTTAGGGAATCAAACCCCTCCTTGCTTGAACTCGATGTTGATGCACTCAGAAAGGATGTGTTTGCGGGGAGATGTCAGCAAGGTGTACTCAATAAAGCGACCAGCAGGTCCTTTATGATCACGGGGCCGGTCATCTCGTCGTCTTTCTCTGTCGCGCCATGGAGCTTCTACCTCGTTCTTTTTCGACGCTCTGGAATTCTCTTGGTCCATAGAATCTCGGGCTTTGTATGCAACTTCTTTTTCCTTGTATTGATTGTAAGATTAGGCCTTGCGGAGGAGTTCATCCAGAGAACGAGGCAGTTTGATCCACACTGCTTTGCTGAAATCACTCTTTGGCCTTAGTCCCTTTTCGAGGAGGTACTTCTTCATGTGGTCAGTCGTACAGATCTCAACTGCTTCCTTGTTAAACCTCTCGATATAGGCACGAAGGGGCTCATCCTTGCCCTGAATTATGCCTTCAAGTGTAGCTTCCGACTTTGTTTGACGCCTGGAGGCAGTGAAATGTTGGGCAAATTGATCTTTTAGGCTCCTCAACAAGGTGATCAAGCCTTGGGAAATATTTGTATACCAGGTCATAAATCCCTTTCTAAGGGTGATTGGGACCAGTCTACACTTGATCGCTCCACTTATGTTGTGATAATGAAGCATGGCTTCAATGTTCTCTATATGGTTGCTAGGATCCGTGGTACCATCATAGAGAGCCAGAGGGGGAGACATCTCCAGCCCGAGAGGAATACGGGTGTCCATGATCTCTTGGGATAGAGGTCCGTGTACGTCGTCCTCGTCGCTCGTGCTTGACGACCTGCTCGGGGAATGACTACGTCCTTGACTCCTGGTGCATCGAGGAGAGTGCATATGTTGACTACGATATTCGTGAGGCTTCTCTGAAGGCCTGGTTTTCTTGGGTGCCGGAGAATTCCTAGACCTCCGGGGAGGGGTACAATATCATCTTCTTGTGATTTTTTGCTTGGGTTTCTCCGACTTTAATCATTCTTTGACTGAGGAGATGCTTCGAGACTCGTCTCACCAACGTTTTTGAGGAGGAGAACGGGAACAGGGAGAATGACTGAGATGTCTCCGCGGGGGAGGTCGTTCTTGAAGGGTGTTTTCCAGCATGTGGATCTTCTCGCCTTGCTGGAAAATCATGTAGTTGGATTTGTTAAGGGTGGCGATGAGAGCCGCAATACTGGGATGGCCAATGGAAGACTGCCAGGTGGAAGATCTAGCGCGTGATCTTTGACCTGGTCCAACTATCCCCGTGAATTCCAGAGGGCAGTTGGTCGCGTGAACTGTCAAGCGCGTGAAGGGGATGTCCTCAACGACTATATTCTCTAACGGCTATATTGTGACCAACGACTATGTTGTGTCCAACGGCTATATTGTGTCCAACAACTAAATTGTCTTAATCTCCTTATTGGACCTTGCATAAAGTTAGACTGGATTGAATCTTGCCCAACTGTGGATCATGTGTCAATCTAGAACAACTTCTCTCACCAAAAAAAATACTTCACCTTTAAAAAAAATAAAAATGCAATTTAAATATAATTTAGATCTCGAAAATGTGCCCAAAAAATATGTGCCTCATGCATAAAGCAATGGTAAAAATATTTGAGACTTCTATATTACGTGAGATATCTCTCTTTTTTTTAACAATTTAGTGGGAGTTATTGACCCTCGTAAAAATAACCTTGTAAAATAATCCTAAAACATGTTATACAGGTAAAAGAAATTTGAAAGAGCAGAGATTATTTAGAAACATACTTCCAACACCACCACCACAACAACAATAATAATAATAATAATAATAATAATAATAATAATAATAATAATAATAATAATAATAATAATAATAATAATAATAATAATAATAATAATGTGTTTGAGAAATTGTTTGACAAGGATATAATAAGGCAATGCAAACATTATTGTAAACATGGAAAGCGATTAATGGTGAAATACTAGTACTAGATGAAGAGAAAAACAAAGCAGAATGGCATTGGAAATATCACATAACATAACAAAGCAAGGAGACAAGAGAATAAATACGTATCTATTTTAGGTGGAAGGTGCAACTGCAACATGTTTGGTAAGTTATGCAAACTGAATAGGTGAACCAATTAATTGCACCCATCTTTTATTTAATTCATTCTTCACATAACTGTCGCTTTCTTTTCTTCTTCACCCAACCACACCATAAAATACACGTAACACAATTTATCCAACTGTTTCTCACTTCAATACAAATCCATTCACACTCACACATCTATCTTTCTTTTTTCTCTAAGTTAAATTGTATCCACCATGTACGTCTCTATTAAATGTCAAAATCACTATAATAATCTAACCAAATACATAGTACTACTTTGTATCCTCCTCCCTCCTTAATATCATCAACCACATAAAATCTACCTTCCACTAACCATACACACATTTCTTCTCTTAGTTGTTTTGTTGAATGTGTGGATCCTTAAAAACATGTTTAAGGATCATCCTTTAATGATGTTTGTTTCATTTTCAATATAAGTAAAATTTCCTTAACTAACCACCTATTATATAGCCTTGTCGGTTGTGTAGTTTGCAAAGTCTTTCTCAAACACAAAAACCATTGGTGGATCTTGTTTTCCTCTCTAAAATAACCATCTCAAAATGCTTTACTTTCTTATATCTTTTGTGTCCTTTCTTATGATCCTTTCAAAATCCTTTACAAATTATAAACCACTTTCATCAAATGGGACAAAACTTGTTTCATGTGTGTTTTGTGGGAAGCTTTTTAGTTTTCTAGCTTCTAGGATCAAAACAAGAACTAGTTTTCTAGCTTTTAATCTTTTTCAATTTTCTCTTTTTATTCAATCGCCAAACAAGAGTTTAGTACTATCTAAATTTGAAGAGGATCAAAGGAAAGTTTCTCTCTTGGATTTGCATGATTTGCCATTGGATTGCATTCTTGAAAAGCTTTCACCAAATGAACTATGCAATATGGCAAAAGTGTGTAAATCTCTTAGAAAAAGTTGTAGAAGTGATTATTTATGGGAGAAACATATGAAGATGAAATGGGGGAAAGTGTTTGGTGATGCTGGTTATAGAGAGTGGAAATGTTTTGTAGCTTCAAGAAACATGGAGAAGAGTTCAAATCAACACAAGAATCGGAAAAAAGTAGTTCGTGATTTTCTTCCATTGTTTTGGATTAAATCAAAAGCTGAAAAAGATATGAAGTTAAAGCTTGATGATTCTGTTGCTTCTCTTTATCTTTCTCTTGAGAGTGGAAATTTTTGGTTCCCTGCTCAAGTTTATAACCGTGAGGTAATAATTGGTTGCATGAAGATATACTTTTTTTTTTACTAGTGATTCTGATTTATAAGATTTTGTTGTGTAGTTGTTTGACATTTTAAGTACTTTTTTCAGAATGGTCATGCTGGGTTTATGCTGTCATGTTATGATGCTTCACTTTGCTATGACTCTAGAAGTAATACTTTTCAAGCAAGGTATGTGAAAAAGTTGACTCATTCAATTGTTAGTTGAGTTTAGGTGCAAAAGTTTTGAGAAATGCAAAAAATATGAATCGGTTGAACCAACCAACCACGGTTTAATTCTGTTTCAACTAGACTATTGCATAAACGGAATCAAACCTGGCGGTTTTCAATTCAATCGGTTGAAGTTATAATCAAATTTTTATAAGTTTAACATTTTATAGGATCTTTTGTTTTTCACAAAATTTTAAAGGTTGATATGTGAAATTCATGTTTTTTTGTTATAGGTATTCACCCCATGGTAGATGGACAATTGAAGAAAACATAAAATGGGAGAGGCTAAGAGTGCCACCTATTGATTCTTGTTCACATGTTCTTCATATCTCTGATTGTTTAGATGATTTAAGACCTGGTGATCATGTTGAAATCCAGTGGAGAAGAAACAAGGAGTTCCCTTATGGTATGTCTCATCCTTCTCATGTTCTTATCTGAGTCATTTTTTCTGGTAGAAACTGGATATACTCTACGCACAACTGCAGAGACTAATCTCTCGAGTCGGAGAGAATTATAATGGTCGACAAAACTCTCCTTCAAAAATTTAACGTTATTGCATGTCTAAGACTGAGTTCGAACTAAATTATTTTTTAAATAAATAGTTTAATTAAGTACTTATATGATAAGCACTTATCAAAATAAGTGCTTTTGCATAGGTTATGCATGAATATCATCATCATGCACTAATACTAAAAAAAAATGTATTGTTGTAGGTTGGTGGTATAGTGTGATTGGTCATTTGGAAACATGTCAAGGACAAGGAAACCATTGCCAATGTGACAATAAAGGTAAGAATATCTATCCACTAGCACACATTTCAATTCTTGTGCTTTTGATTTTTCACTTTATTGTATCTTTGTAGCACTAAATTAAGAGTGTTAATTAACAGATAGAGTGATTTTGGAGTTCAGACAGTACACAACTAGTTCAAGATGGAGACAAACAATGATAAATAGAAGGAGTCATAGAGAAGAAGGAAATGAGATTGAAGGTTTTTATGGAGGAATTAGAAAGTTGCATAGCAAGGAGGAAATTACAAAGTGGAAGAAACTTTGGCCAATAAAAAATGTGGAATAGCATGATTAGTAATAGCTTTAGAACTTTGTAATTCTACTAATCCAAATTCCTAAAATGTGAATGTGAAGGATTGGTTTTTTCAAAGAATGGTAAATGCTGAGGGAAAATGGATTGGGGCTGGAAATTGACCCATAAGTTATGTGTTTATAAAGTCGTCATCACATTTGGAATAATAAGCATCAAATCAATAGATCTTACCAAGTTTGTTCAATGCCTCATGTCTATAACCATCCAATTTGGAATAATAAAGACATGTTTCAAACTTAGATTTGAAGGGCTCAACATACTCGAAAGTGTATTGGAATCATTAGAGTAACGGAAAACCATAAACATCATGGTTTAATTGAAAGGTGACAATATAGGATCACAATGCCATTGAAAAATATAGGCACAATCACCAAGGCGGGAAGTTCAAAACTGGTAGAATATGAAGATCGAGAATTAGTTTTTGATAAATTCATAACTATATTTGTTGATGATTCGTAATATATATGTGGCATGAATGTCATCTTAGTCTTTCCAGTGAAATATGTTGATAGAGTCTTCAAATTAGATGAATTGGAGGAACATTTCCAAAATCTATATCTCAAAGAGATTCCATGTGTGATTTCATATGCTTCTAGAGGAACTCATAAGCCTATGTGAAATCAATCATCCTTTGATCGTCCAAAATGATCAAATGAGAATAAATGTAAAACCTTTGTGTTCCAAATAAGGTTTTTGGGTGACCGAAGCTCAATACCACATCTTCAAGGCTATATAAACCTAAAATAACCACCTCTCAAGGTGCACACAATTAAAGTATTAAACCTCACACTCACAACCAATACTAACTTAAGTGTTAGAGTTTTTGTAGGTATTTTGGAGGTCCTTCAATTGAAATCGGTGATGGGAGGTTTGACCAAGCACTATCATCATCTCAGAGTCTGTTAATGCCATTTGAACATGATTTATGTATCAGAACACTTGTTTATTTAAGTTTAAATATAAACAAAGTGCAATTTTATGGCAATGTAGCATTGAACCTGATGTCATAATTCTTTTGCAAAGGCTTGACAAGACAAATAAAGACTTGGCTTCCCACAAGATGGTTATTACTGACTATGAAGGGAAAATATTGAATTTGAAATGTGTCATTATGTTAAATGTGATAGATGGAAAATTAGAAGCTCGAGATCCACTTGAAGAAGAAGAAGAAGAATAAGATTGCATAAATTTTTTCATGTGTTCAAAACATAGAGTTTTAATATCAAGAGTAGAAAGTAAAATGTTCTGGACTGGACTGGCACGTGCCCCACAATTGGGCAAGGCCCAATCCAGTTTAGCCTAAGGCCAAGCCCAATAAGGAGATTGGGCACAATATGACCATTGGGCACGATATAGTCGTTGGAGCATATAGTCGTCGTTGGGGACATCCCCCTCACGCGCTTGATAGTTTACGCGACCAACTGCCCTTCCGAAATTCATGGAGACAGTTGGACCAAGTCAAAGATCACGCGCTAGATCTTCCACTTGGAAGTCTTCCATTGGTCGGCCAGATATTTCGGCCACATGGAAGACCTTGGCCCCGTACTAGAGGAAATCTTATAAATACCCTCTCTCTTGAGAGGGTTGGGTATTCTAATCATTCTCACTGATACCTAAAAACTCGTACTTGCTTTCTCTCTAGCCCAAAAACTTACTTTGCCGTCGGAGTACCTTGCAGATACACCCCCTCCTCTCCTACAACCACTGTTGTTGCTCTTTCATATCAGTGGCGCCGTCTGTGGGAACACCAACTCCCCCACCTTTTTGAACCAAGATTCTCCAATCTTCCCGAACGAAAGACCAAAGATATCTCTCTAAACCTTCATTGCCATGGCCTTTCACTATAATGACGTCCATCAAGATTCCATCGTCGCCACTCTGGGCTGCGGTGAAACCCCCATTCCCAGAGCTGCCACCGGAGAAACTGATCACATGGATGGAAAGTCGGCATCTCCTGATAATGTGAAGCCTCGTGTACAAAGTTTTGACCATGTATATGAGCCTATCATCGTCCCACAAGATGTTGACCCCTACATTGCGGCCCTCATCGCCGCTCTCAACAAATCTAACTATCTATTTTTCCAACAAGGAGAAAAAATCCACATGCTGGAAAACACCATAGGAGAGAGACCTCCCCCGCGGGGATCCCTCAGCCCATCTCACCGGTCTCATTCCCCTCTTTAGAAGCATTGCCAAGACGAATCTAGAAGTATCTCTCTAGTTAAAGAACGGTCTAAACTGGAGAAGCATGGACACGAGATCACCAGAAGATGCAATCGCACCCCTCCCCGGAGGTCCATGCACTCCCTAGCACCCAAAAGGACCATGCCTTCTGGAAAGCCTCGCGAAGAGCATCGAAGCTGACACGAACGTTCTCCTCGACACAGCAAGAGCTAGGGACACAATCATTCTTTCAGCAGGTCTCCAAGCACGAGCGACAAAGACAACGCCCGCGGTCCCTTGTCACAGGAAATCATGGACACCCGCATTCCTCGCGGGCTGGAGAAACCTCCCCCTCTGGCTCTCCATCATGGTACCACCGATCCTAGTGACCACATAGAAAAAATTAAGGATATACTGTACTACCACAATGTCACTAGGGCAATCAAATGCAGTTTATTCCCCATCACGCTTAGGAAGGGGGCTATGGCTTGGTACAAAAGCCTTTCTCGAGGCTCAATCACGTCCTGAAGAAGTCTGAAGGAGTAGTTTTCCCGGCACTTTACTGCCTCCAAGCGTCATCTGAAATCAAAGGCCACGCTTGAGGGTATCTTCAAGGGTAGGGACGAGCCTCTATGCGATTACGTTGACAGTTCATTAAGGAAGCGGCCAAAATCCGCACAACTGACCTCATGAAAAAATATCTGCTAAGAAAAGGGACTGAGGCCGAAAAGCGACTTCTGGAAAGAAGTAGGAATCAACCCTCCTCGCTCTCTAGCCGAACCTCTCCGCAGGGAAAAATCCTATATTCAGTATGAAGAAAAGGAAGCCTTGTATAAAGCCAGAGATTCGAGGGACCAAGAGAGTTGCATAGCATCGAAGAAAGACGAAGCAAAAACTTCCAGGCGGGACAGAGATAGGCGACGAGACGACCGTCCCCGTGATCAGAAAAGGCCTGTTGGTCGATTCATCGAATACACCTTGCTAACCGCTCCATGTGAGCGTATCTATCTGAATGTATCAAAGCCAAATTCAAGCAAGGAGGCATGCGATTCCCCAAGCCAACAGCTTCAAAGAGCAACACCGACCGAAGCAAATACTGTCGCTTCCACCGCAACAACAACCACATGACAAAAGACTGCATCCACCTGAAAGATGCCATCGAAATCCTCATCAAAGAGGGCCACCTAAAGTAATATATGAAGAAAGGAGAAGCCCCCCGAGGAGAAACGTCGGAGTCCAAGAAAGCGGATATAAGAGCTTCAACTTCTAGTCCTCCCCGGCCGGTCGCCATGTCTATCTCCCGGCCAGGGGACTTTTTCATCCCTAGCAATCTCGGGGAGCCTGCATATTATTCAACACACAGCCCCTGGGAAGCCTTCTCCGGTACAATGGTTATCTCCTGCGGCAGATACAACAAACTCACAGTGGGATCAGTAAAGAGAAAATTCGACCAAATGATTGACTGTAGTCCAGATCGTCTATCAACACTCGAAAAGTTCTGAGGGTGAACTTAGCCAATCACTTTCTACCGTTAAGAGCTCCCCGGAGGCTCCCCCAATGCTCACATTCCTCTTCTTATTAGAGCCAGATTAACCAACACTGACGTCCGTCGAATCCTTGTCGATCAGGGTAACTCAGTGGACATCATGTACACTAGCCTATTTCGCGCCCTCAAACTCGACCAGAAGAACATGTCCCCTTATATAGGTTCAGATTTGCAAGGATTCAATGGGGCCACTGCTAGGCCCTGGGGATACGTGGATCTCCAAGTTACGTTCAGGAGAAAGATGCTACCAAAACAATTTAGACTCAGTTCTTAGTCATAGACTGCCCCTCGCTATACCAATGCATCCTAGGGTGGTCGACACTTGCCGAGCTAATTGTTGCTCCATCCGCAATTCATCTTAAATGAAGTATTATACCAAAAAAGGGCATGTTGCCACTCTGCACGAGGACATCGAGGCTGCGAGACGGTGCTTCGAGGCGGCTACCAAGGGGCAGAGTTCAATTAGTGCAGCACCGCAAGTCGTCAAACGGGCAAGAGACAAAGATCTTCTCAGCGAAGAAAGTCAGCTCGGAAAGAAGCCAGGGCTCCAAGTTCATACCATCGACCTCGACATCCGAATCCCAGAAGAAGGCGAAGAAGACACTTCAATTTCAATGAGGAGCTCATCCTCTACAACTATTATGCGCCTAACACCATATGGGAAATTCAAAGTAATCACCTTCGGGAAAAAACCCATGCGAGGAGTCAGGATTGGCGTGGGACTACCAGATGAGGTGAAGGAACAATTGAAGACTTGCTTGAAGAATAACACGAACTTGTTTTCCTCGAGCGCCACGGACATGCCAGACCTCGACCCAGAGATTGCTTGTCATCAGCTCACCATCGACCCATATGCTCGGGAGGTAGCATAGCGCAGGCGCAAGCAATTCGACGAGAAGAATGAAGTGGAAAATAAACTTGTAAAAGACCTCTTAGAGGCCAAATTTATCTCGGAAACCTAGTATACAACCTGTTTGTCCAACATTGTATTAGTCAAAAAACATAATGGAAAGTGGAGAATGTGCATTGATTACACCGATCTCAACTGGACTTACTCGAAAGACGTTTATCTTTTGCCTAGCATTGATAAGTTAGTAGATGACTCCGCTGGTTTCAAAAAATTTTCCTTCATGGATGCCTACTTAGGATATAACCAGATCTCCATGGCGGAGAAGGACAAGAGGTACACCGCTTTCATGACCTCGTCGGGAAACTATTACTACAACGTAATGCCCTTCGTTCTAAAAAATGGCAGGCCACGTAC